AAAAAAAAAAAAAAATATATATATATATATATATATATATATATATACACACACACACATACACACACACATCTTTATGATAAAACATATTTAGAATATGACAATGGCCTTTTTGCTCAATATATACAATTCTGGAGTTTGTTTCTCTTTTGTTTTTGTACTTTTTAAAATTCATGTAAAATTTACTTAAGGTATTTTGAATGTACAGTTCTTTGTCTATTTTGAATGTATAGTTCTTTGAGTTGAATGCATAAAATTATGTACGAACAGGATATAAACTTTTGTTATTTTAACAATAAAAGGATCTTTCTTTATTATGAACATTAAAAAGAAGTGTTACAATTTTGAACTAAGTCACAATAAAAAAAAACAAAAAAAAAAACGTGAGACAAAACTCAATGATTGAGAAAATTAGATAAAATCCTCTTCCATTGAAAACTGACCAGAGAAAGATGTCAGGACATCATCACTTATATGTTATTTCTATATGACTTCTGTGAGACATCGTTCCCTTAAACAACAAACCTTTAGGGAAGGGAATATTATATGATTAATATAAACAAAGAACATGGTATGTGCAAGTGATATATTAAAGATAAGTATTTACTAGTCAATCTTGCAAAAGTAGATTTATATACAACTAGAAATATTTCAAGTTCTTTATTTAAAAGGCTCTGGGTCTATATTTTAACATATGATGTTGAGCTCAATATCATATTGTAGTGTTTCCCAGGCACAGTGCTAGAAAGCCCTTTCAGGAAAGCATTTCATAAAAACAGAAAAAGTTCCTGCCCTAAATATGATTATACTCTACAAGAAAGAGACAAAACGTCATTACAAAGAAGTGTGCTAATAGTATGAAGGATTATTGGTGACTGCAATGGAGTAGCTCCCTCAAAACTTTACTAACATTCTTTTTCCAGTCATTGAGATGTGCTTTACTCTTCAGAGAAAAATCGAATCACTTGTCACTTGAAAGCTTCTTTTCTGATATACTTATGCTTTAGTTTTATACATTTTCACCCTAAATCATAGTATCATATGTGGATATGCTGATGCTTATGAGAAAACAATTTCCATTGCAGCTAATGTTACTTGCAAGCTCTTTGAAATTGTACTACTAATGTACTTTTCAGTGTTTAAGGTATACAATCTTTGGTGTGGGTTTTATAGAATAGGTATGAAACTTTATGAAGAAAATAAGATCTTTGAATGAATACAAAACCCATATTAAAATGCACCAAACCCCTTTGCTTTTCACTAATATATGTTCTCCCAGTAGCAGAGCATCCACAAATCTATTAATTTGATTTCTGCCCACTGCTACATTTGCCAAATGGAATTGGAGTTCATTTTCTGATGGGGGCATCATCCTTTCTGACAAATAATATGATTCAACCTTCCCAGCCTCATTGTTATTACTTTTAATTTTGCCAGTCAGGGAACTTTGTTTAAATTCACTTTTTCCTAGGAATCCTGCTATACTCTCTTGTAGTCATTTAAAAATGTAGCTGGTGATCTTGATAGTTCTCATTTTAAAGAGTAGAGTCTCTTTGTCCTCCGGTTAAATGTGGCCCGGATTTAGTAACTTGCTCTTAACAAATAAAATAATGTGTCATGAAAAAGAAAAAATGTCATGAGTGATGGCGTATAATTTCTAAAATTAGGTCCAAATAGAATAGATGCTTCCTTCTCCTCCTCCCCCCCCC